TCGGACGCTTAACCGACTGCGCCACCCAGGCGCCCCTATGCAGTTTTGATATCAGGGAAATATTGGCCTTGTAAAATGAATTGGGAAGTATTCCCTCCACTTCTACTTTTTTTGGGAGAGATTGTAAATAATTAATTCGTATTTTTCCTTTTCTAACAATTTTAATTCCAGTTAACATTTAATAGTTAACGTACAGTATCGTGTTTCAGGTGTACAGTATAGTGATTCAGCAATTCTATGCGTTAGTTAGTGCTCATCATGATAAATGTACTCTTAATCCCTATCACCTATTTCATATGATCATTCCCCTACCCACCTCTCCTCTGGCAACCATCAGTTTGTTCTCTAAAGTTAAGAGTCTGTTTCTTCGTTTGTCTCTCTCTTTTTTTCTTTGCTCTTTTGTTTTGTTAAATTCCACATATGAGTGAAATCATATGGTATTTGTCATTCTGACCTATTTCAATGAGCATTATACTCTCTGGATCCACCCATGTTGTTGCAAATAAAAAGACTTCATTCTTTTTATGGCTGTGTAATATTCCTTATATATTTCACCTCTTGGGCTGCTTCCATAATTTGGCTATTGTAAATACTGCTGCAAGAAACATAGAGATGCATGGAATCTTTTGAATTAGTGTTTTTGTATTTAGGGATAAATACCCAGTAGTGTGATTACTATATCATAGGGTAGTTCTATTTTTAATTTTTTTGAGGAACCTCTATACTGTTTTCCACAGTGGCTGCACCAGTTTGCCTTTTTACCAACTGTACTCTCTTTTTCTCCACAACCTTGCCAATGCCTGTTGTTTCTTGTGTTGTTGATTTTAGCCGTTCTGTTAAGTATGAGATGATATGTCATTGTGGTTTTTATTTGCATTTTCTTGATTACGAGGGATGATGAGCATCTTTTCATGTGTCTGTTGGTCATCTGTATGTCTTCTTTGGAGAAATGTTTTTTCATGCCTTTTGCTATTTACTATTGATTTTTTTTGTTTGTTTGGTGTTGAGTTGTATAAGTTTTTTGGATACTAACCCGTTGTTAGATACGTCATTTGCAAATACCTTCTCCCATTCAGTAGCCTTTTAGTTTTGTTGATTGTTTCCTTTGCTATGCAGAAACTTTGTATTTTGAGGTCATACCAATAGTTTATTTTTGCTTTTGTTTTCTTGCCTCAGGAGACATATCTAGAAAAATGTTGCTACAGTCAATGTGAGAGAAACTACTGCCTATGCACTCTTAAAGGGTTTTTATGGTTTCAGGCCTCACATTTAGGTCCTTAATCCATTTTGAATTTATTTTTGGTATAGTGCAAGAAAATGGTCCAATTTCCTTCTTTTGCATGTAGCTGTCCAGTTTTCCCTGAACCATTTGTTGAAGACACATTCTTTTTCCCATTGCTTATTCATTCCTCCTCTGTCAAAGATTAATTGAACATATAATCTTGGGTTTATTTCTGGGTTTTCTCTTCTATTCCATTGATCTATGGACCTATTTTTGTGTCAGTACCAGTAATATAACTTGAAATCTGGAATTGTAATACCTCTAGTTTTGTTTCTCCTTTTTAAGATTGCTTTGGCTATTCAACAAATTTTAGAATTATTTGTTCTATGTTTATGAAAAATGCTGGTGGCATTTCGATAGGGATTTCATTAAATCTGTAGATTGCTTTGGGTAGTGTAGACAATTTAACAATATCTGCTCTCCAAACCCATGAGCATGGAATCTTTCCATTTTTTGGTGTTGTCTTCAACTTCTTCCAGTGTTTTCTTCTTCTTCCAGTGTTTTCTGGTTTTCAGAGTAGAGGTCTTTTACTTCTTTGTTCCTAGATATTTTATTGTTTTTGGTACAAATGCAATTGGGATTATTTTCTTAATTTCACTTTTTGCTACTTCATTATTAGTATATAAGAATGTAACAGGTTTCTATACATTGATTTTGTATCCTGTGACTTTACTGAACTCATTTATCAGTTCTAGTAGTATTTTGGTGGAGTCTTTAGGGTTTTCTGAACATAGTCTCATGTCATCTGCAAATAGTGAGAGTTTTACTTCTTCCTTACCAATTTGGATGCCTGTTATTTCTTTTTGTTGTCTGATTGCTATGACTAGGACATCCAGTACTATGTTGAATAAAAGTAGTGAGAGTGGACATCCTTGTCATGTTCCTGGTGTTTGGGGAAAAGCTCTCAGTTTTTGACTATTGAATATAATGTTGGCTATGTATTTTTCACATGAGGCCTTTATTATGTTGAAGTATGTTCCCTTTAGACTTACTTTGCAGATTTTTTTTATTATTATGAATGGAT